GACAGTCGCTTAATTTAATTAGTAATCAACAACAAATTTCAATTTGTTCAAACAAAACAGCGTTTACTATCAACACTAAAACAACTTAACTAAATAAACTTGCAAGTATTAAAATAAATAATGTAATAATTTGTACGGATTATCTAATTAAGCTCAATACTAATTAAAACATAGCTAAGCTATCTCACCAGTAATCAAAAAGCCATTTATTTATACCACTACTAATTACACCACGCTCTAATGAACTCACCTGTAATCAGTGCCCACACGACCAGGTGCAAACAACCGGATGTTGTCCTCCATGTACCAGCTCAGGTTCTCGTTAGACACGGACATGTAGACAAACATTTCCTGGTCAATGTCCGTCCTCTTGGAGGTCAAGGACAAGGTGCCAGGTCTGAGAAAAGGAACAATTCTAGCTCACAGTGAATGAAGTTTTCAAAATGCAGACTTAATATGCAGAAATTACTATGATTAATGCCTAGATACTAGTTAATAAGCTAGTCTTAATTTTTTTTTGTTAAAAGACTTAATTGGTGTCGGTCAGTCATGCAATCATAAAACTTCAATAATAGATTTTTTTAAATTTAATACTCATTTTTTAAGCTCTAAAAAGCAACCACCTTCTTATAATATAAACTTTTGATTATTTTAATCATCGAAATCTCTAACAGTAGACAGTAGAATTAGCTTTCTGTGTCGCTTTGTGTCTGCTGTATGTACAAGACCAGTTGGTATCAATATTCAGTTTGGCGAAAAAGATGTTATTACGAAAAATAAACAGTAATTTCATAATCCACCCTAGGTCCCACGACAGAATAAAAGGTTAGACTGACCTGCAGACGATGACAGTGCCAACAAGGCCAGAGTTCACGTCCTTGACCGTGTCGACGGCCGAGTAGTACATCCATGGGATACAGTTGGGGTCGTTGGGGCCGGGGCCGGAGCGTGCTGGGATCTGCCAGAGGTACTTGACCGTCTCCCCGGGAGCCGCGCCGACAGAGGAGCCGTAGTTGACGCCGCTGGCCCGCTGCCTGGGTGGAATTACAGGTAAGAATAAGAAAGTGAAGATTAGATTAAAAGATTTAAGAATTCTCCTTTTATACTCTTAAAAGAAATCGGGGCATTGATCTGTTAAACAACGTCAGACGTTTTAAAATGATTTACCCCCCCCCCACCTCCATCGTCACAAAAAATCGTCACATCAAATGTGAGACTACCACTTAGTTATAAAACACTCCCTGCGCTTTTATAAGACATTATTTGTTATACTTACACCTATATCGTCTTCCTAAAACCCTTTTTCAAACACAACTTTCGTCTTTAAAAATAAACCTTTAAACAAAAGTTTATTTTAGACGTTCAACACCCCCCCCCCCCTCCGACCTCTTTTGCCCAGTAAGAACGCCATGACTGTGAATAAAGTCTTCTCCCCAACCCCACTTGTCTGCTCTATCTCCCCCATATTTGTCTGACCCCCCCCCCCCCCCCTTCCCCTTCCCCTCCAGTTACCCAATAAGGACGCCATGACTGTTAAAAGAGTAAGGTTTGCTCCCCCATCCCCACACTTGTCTGCTCCCCCACCCCCACACTTGTCTGACCCCACCCTCCACCACAACGCATTTACTACTTACCCAGTAAGGACGCCATGACTGTGAATAGAGTATCTTCTGGTCGCCATGTCTACCCCCCCCCCTCTACTCACCCCGTAAGGACGCCATGACTGTGAATAGAGTATCTTCTGGTCGCCATGTCTACCCCCCCCCCCCCCCTCTACTCACCCCGTAAGAACGCCGTGACTGTGAATAGAGTATCTTCTGACCGCCATGTTTCTGGTCGTCTACCCCCCCCCCCCCCCCTACTCACCCACTAAGAACGCCATGACTGTGAATAGAGTATCTTCTGGTCGCCATGTTTCTGAACGTGACCCTGACGACGTCACCAATCTCCGCCATGATGACAGGACCCAGCAGGTCACCATTGCCAGGTTTAACGCTTGTGTACGTGCCGTCTGTGTACTCTTTGTACACAGCTTTCTTGTACACATGGCCGATATACATGTCGTCGTGTCGGATGAAAATACTTTCTTCACTGACGCGAACATCATGAGAAAATTACACGTAAAATATTTCAATAGCATAAAGTAAAAACTGTTTTTTAGCATAGAAGTAGTATATTAGGTCACTTTTGGGTCGCATGGGTGAGCAGGATGCGGATGCGGATGCGGATGCGGAACAAAGGCTATATAGGAAAATACTCCCAGCCGGAGGTACAATGACATATAGCAAAATACTCACCCACCTGGGTAAGGTGGGTGATCCGGAGGTACAACGAGATATAGTAAAATACTCCCTGGGTGATGCGGAGGTACACCGACATATAGTAAAATACTCACCCACCTGGGTGAGGGTGGGTGAGCCGGAGGTACAATGACATATAGTAAAATACTCACCCACCTGGGTGAAGGTGGGTGAGGGTGGGTGAGCCGGAGGTACAATGAGATATAGTAAAATACTCACCCACCCTAGGGTGGGTGATGCGGATGCGGAATAGGTCAGTAGGTCACCACTGGTGACCTTGTGACGTAATTAGTAACATTATGACGTAATCATTGACCTAGTTACGTAATCATTGACCTAGTTACGTAATCATTGACCTAGTTACGTAATTTTAACGAGTTTTTTAATTAGTTTAATGAGTTTTTAAAATTTTAATTAATTTTTTGACCTAGTTACGTAATTTTAATGTGTTTTTTAATTAGTTTGAATTTATTTTTTAAATTTTTAATTAATTTTATTAACGAGTTACGTAATTTAATGCGTTTTTTAATGAGTTTGAATTTAATTTTTAAATTTTAATTAATTTTTATTATCGAGTTACGTAATTTAATTACTTTGATTGTATTTTTATTTGTTTAATTTGTTTGTTTACTTGTTGTTTAATTTAATTACTTTGTTTATATTGTGTAATTTTTTTATTGACTAGTTACGTAATTGGATTTTAATTTTTTAAATTTTTAAATTTTAATTTTAAATTTTAATTGATTTTAATTACTTTGTATTTTGTTTGTTTATTTTGTTTGTTTACTTGTTATTTAATTTAATTACTTTGTTTATATTGTGTAATTTTTATTAACGAGTTACGTAATTTTAATTTTTATATTCTCCAACCCAACAACCGTGCACAAAAAAAAAAAACAGGTTAAATTCGCCACCACAACGCTAAAGTATACAAACATAGAACATTCATTAAAGATAACGATCAGCCACAGCTGTTACATAGCGATCCGCGATCCTTTGTTCTTGTCAAACACTGGACAACGGGCGCGTTAATATTGATCGCACCCACTGACCATCAGTATGATGGTCCACCTAATTAAATTTTGTTATGCTTCACCGAGTTTCCCCGCTCGATTTGATAGGTCATGATGATTTATGTGGGTTCGCGAAGCGATCCCACCGGGGGGTATGGTAATTAACGACGTACATTAAGTGGCTTTCGGCGACGCCAGCGTTAAGTGTGGGAACACCTGTTACCACGTTAATCGATTTTACCGATCGGTTTGTTAGCTCCACGAAGTACGTAGGCCATTATGCAACAGCTGTTGTGCGACAGCTGGTGCTGTAATTAGGCCGTCCAACCGTATAAATGACCGCGAAAATTGTGTTCTAAACACTTCGACTTCGGACTTCAAATCAAGCGTCACAGCGACTTATCCTGGATGAGACCTCTGTTGACTCCTGAGACTAAACCCACGCCAGCTTTACCAAGCATCACATCTACCTAACCCTACACGGACCACATCTTTTGTGCGTGTTTATTCTATTAAAGGTAAGGTTAATATTACTTTTGTTTTATGGGCGCTAACCCCATTAAAATACCCTTTAATTCAGTCTTTTCTAAATAAGTAGTCATAGGTATTTACTTTAATTTTGTATCGTACACCGAGGTAAGGTGAATAGTACGTTTATTTTAAGGGAACTAACCCCATTAAAATAACCCTTAAAAGCAACATGTATCTAAATAAGTAGTCAATTGAATTTTCTTTTTTAGTGTACAACCGACCCTACGAGATAGACTAACCACCCACTGACCCTATTGAGCTACCTACACATCCCTGCGGAATCCACTGAACCAAACGTTCCAACTACAACCAACTACACCACTTCGGATCTCCACATACAGTTAACTACACGTTCAGCTTAGACGTTCAAGCCAACCCGTAGGTACGTTTCAATTTTAATTTTGTTTTAAGTCTGTATTTTATTTTATTTATTTATTTTTTATTTTTAATTTATTTATTTTTATTTTTATTTTATTTTATTTTATGTATTTACTTTAATCTTTATTTTTATTCTACAGCCAACGACCTACCCAAGCATCCAACTACTAGACACCTCGTCAATAATGGAAGCCGCCCAAACAACCAGCCACCCAGCCATGACCCGCTTCACATGCGAGATCTGTGACCGAGTATTCAGCCGTAATCAACTTTTCATACGCCATCAAGAGACAGCACACGGACGACAAAGACATCCCTGCACAACATGTGGGAAAGTATTTACACGACTTGACAATTTGACAAGACACTTTACGAAAGCACACACCAACCAGAGGCGTATCCAGGTTTTCAGTGTAGGGGGAGCGAAAAATAGCAAAAAAGGCGCCGAATTTGTAATATGTTCTATATACGTATATATATATATATATATATATATATATATATATATATATATATATATATATATATATATATATATATATAGGGCATAGTCTGTTTTTGTCATCCTCGTACAATTTACTTTATAATAGCATTATGTCTTCTAAAAATTGGAATGCATAAGACACGTAAATGAAGATATTTTTATTGCTTAATCAGTTTTACAAAACGGTATTCATTTTAAATTAAAAAAGAAATAACAATAATTATTTATGAAGGCCTATGTAACACTTTTGATAGTAATGTTGTTTTATCCTGTACTCTAAAACTTCTGTTAGAACTACAACATCCTTTTTCGTCGAGGTTTCATTTTAGCAAAATGATCAATTACGTCTTTTAAATCAACATCAGAAGCTAATTGTCGTTCAATCGTAATCAGGGCTAAGCTGGACAACCTGTCTTCGTTCATAGTAGAACGGATGTATGTTTTCAGGAGTTTAAGACGGCTGAAGGATCTTTCTGCTCCGGCACTGCTTATTGGTAAAGTCAGAAATATACGATACAAAGTGGCCAGGTTTGGATACATAGAACACAAGTCATTAGCTATCATGAATTTCAGAATGCTGTTTACTGTCACCGCTATTTCCGGAGGTTCTTTTTCAGTTGAAACTCCCTTGTTTACACTGCTTACACTAAAAACTTCTTGGTAAAATGTTCTAAATGATACGAATTCCTGCACTACTTCAGTTACACTGTCAACAACATCCGAGTACGTCACTGCTAATTGCTGCAACTGTATTAAACAGTCATCTAATGCAAAATGTTTTGGGTCTAAGCAACAAAACTTGGAAGACACATCTTTAAAATTTTGAAAGCTTGTGTTTGTACTAGTTATGTCAGAGTCCAGTGACACTAAATAAGTTTGAACAATGAACTTTTTCCTAGAGTCAGATATCTGAGTATCCTCTGCACCTTTGTCGTGGAATATTTTCCGTTTGTATAACCTGTGTTGCTTATACTCCGTACGGATATCACATTTCTCAGCGAGCTCAGTGGCTTCGTTCTCAATCTGCTCAAATTCTGATTCAAATTCATTTCTCCAGCTACTCATCTCATTTTCAAAAATCTGAATTAATCGAAAGGCTGTTAACATATCAATGCTACTTTTCTGTAAATAAATGGATACGTTAAAAGCCTTATGCAGAATTCTTTTCCAAAACATTAAAACAACTAAAAACTCAAAGGTCTCTATTGTAACAAGAATTCCCTTTCCTACGGCAATCTGTTTAGAAGTAGAGTTTTTAACTTCACCGTCAACTATTCTTCGCAATGCAAGAACAAGTGCTGGTAAATTCTGCAATATAGAATCTACTGCTGTCTTTCTAGAAGCCCATCTTGTATCACTAAGTCGTTTCAGTGTTAATGAAAATGCTTCTATGTTGTTGCGTTGCCCCTCTTGCAATATAGAAAGACGCGGTAGACTTCCGGTAAAAAATGTATATATGCTTTCCAGAACTCCAAAAAACAGCTGTGTTTGAATATTAGATGAAACAGCATCTATGAGAATTAAATTTAAATTATGAGCACATCAGTGTGTGAAGAGTGTATGTGTAGCTATTTATCTAACTCGTTTTTGTAGGCCTGATATTTCACCAGACATGGTGTTTGCTCCATCGTAGGACTGACCATAGCACATGGTCATTGACAGCCCTAAGTCTGTGACTGCTGTAAGAAGCGTTTAAAAAAAACCTCTGCACTAGCTTGAGGAAGCTCACAAAATTGGATAAATCTTTCAATGGCGTCTCCATGTTCAGTAACATATCTGATTGACAAAGAAAATTGATCTATTCTACTAATGTCGATAGTTGAATCTACAATCACAGCGAAGTACCTAGCTATCTTAATTTCGCCTACTATCTTCTTTAAAATTTGGGCTGATATAGCCTTAATTAAGTCGTTTTGCATACCGGGACTTAAGTATGTTGCATTTCTGTCACCGAAAAGTAAATGTTGTTTCAGCAAATCATCTTTCTTAGAAATGAGTTTAATAAGTTCCAAAAAGTTGCCTTCATTTAATGTAGATTCTCCTAAACCTTGGGATTCACGATGGCCCCTAAACGCCAATCCCTGTTTTCCCAAATAGAGAACCGCATCTATAATACTTTCCAGTATTACTCTGTTTTTTTTCTATTTCCTTCTTTTCTGATGTTAAAATGTCACATATTATGGTTCTGTCTTTGTAAAGTCGGAACTTTGTAATTAAAAGTTCTCTCTCTGCAATATTGTGACTTTCAGAGTTTTCATGTTTGTTAATTTTGTCGGGACCTTTTGCATAGTTCATACAACCCAATTTTGGATCGCCCCAAGTGTCTGACTTGTGTTTAAAGAGCCAACAAGCAAAACAAATCATATAATTTGCCTTGGGCTAATATACTAGCCAGTGTCGTATTATTTCACGACCACATTTTGTATGGTTTTTTTTTCTTGTACCAACTGGCACTAAAGTGCCGACCAGTTACACCTTTTGGAAAATCTTTATAAGTATCTTTGAGGCCTGGTTGACAAGGACCAAACTCAAGTAATGCACGTACTAGATCCGGTGTTACGGGTGTTTCACAAAACAAAAAAGGATCTGTAGGATATTCCAGATTTATATCGATTATGGCATTGTACTGTCAATATCCTTTTCTAAATGGGTGTCTTCTAAAATGTCTATAGACATTACCTTATTGTCTTGAGTCTCGAAGCCTTGATTATGCATCTGAGAAGATGTTGCTTGTACATTTTGTACTTGGGTATCTTGAGACACATCAACCTCTGGTTGTATTGTTGTAGCAGTTAAAGGCGTACAGCTTGAAAAATATGTATCCAGTTTGATACATTTGGATGACGATTGTTGGCGATCTGAAACTTCTTTCAATCTCTTCCTCTCCCACCCCGAATATTTTTTCTTTTCTGGTTTCCTTTCCATTTAATAACCTCTTAACTTCCGAATTCTAAGCGCAACTGTTGTCTTATTCGCAATATAGTTAGTATGATACACCAAATAATTTAAATGGTGCGATTACTTTTTGATAATTACTAACTATTGGAAACAAGTTCAAACGATACATCAGCTGAGCGGATAATTAACTGTGCTATCAGGGTTAGTTTAAGTTGAGTTGTTTTTTAAATACAAAATATAGCCTTATTCAAATTTAATATAGATCTAGATCTAGTAAATTAAAATAATAATTAATATAAAGTTGATACTGTTTTATATAATTTGTAATCGTAATCAGTATCGCCCAAACTGTAAGAATACTACTACTTCATCATGATGACGTTGTTTAACCTTGTCAAAATTTCCCCACCGCTACGCAGTTTGCCCATAAGTAAATTTAAATAGAGGTGTCACATCAGTTGTATTTGTTTCTGTATTGTAATTTTTAAAAAATCAATCACACGATTCAAACTGTATATATAAAGTAATTATGTGTGAAGTTTTAAGTATAACATTTTCTAATTCAATTATTCGTAAACAAATACATAATACATTATACCGTGGATTTAAACTTAACACCCCTCTTGTCAAGTGGTACCACCCGTAGATGTTTTTTAAACATTGCATTGCATCGTAATGGTTATTTTTAGAACGGCAAACTGATGCAGGTGTTAATACGTATTGTAAACGTAGACACTACTAGACTAGTACAATAATGCTTAATTGCTGCATGAAAAGAAATCTTGTGATTTACAAAGATGTGCCGAACAAAAATATTTTTTTAGCAAATATCATTGTTTAAAACTTTGAGTTTAAAAAGTTTCCAAAAAGGCGCCACTTTGCTGAAAATGGCCAGAGGGGGAGCGGCCGCTCCCCCTGCTCCCCCCCTGCGTACGCTACTGACACCAACCAAACATTACTGAGCGACACCCCATCAGCAACCAACAGACAAACACACCAACCCACATTTGTGACCGACACACATACTGTCCAACTCCCAACAGCGACCCAACCAGCTCATACTGCTACCAACACTAACCCTTTAAAACGACATACGAGGTATGACGATATAGCAAACAACAAACGCGTAAAGACTAACAATGACAGTACCATTTATTCAGACACCACTATGTTTCCTGTAGACGACCTTAGGGGAGATGCAGTAGACTTACACACGACCACAGGCAAAGCTTCACCCACATCCCTTCTTACAGACATTCCTGACTTTATTAAACATAATCACGCCATCAACATGTTACAACATGATTCCCATTCCAAACCCTACACAGACAATTTTTCCTTTTTTAGATGTTTAGCCAGACATTTAGGAGCACCCGTAAAAGATCTTAGAATTCCAACATTAAATCTCGTGAAACAGTGGCAAGCGCACCAAGGTCTCGGGACCTTGGATAATTTTAGCGGGGTTAGGTTGGTCGAAATTCCCCTCTTAGAGTCCTGTTTTAGTGTAAATATTGAGATTTTTGAATTTAACGAAAACCAGATCCTTTCCCCGAAACTTAGAAGTAGTGATAGGTTTAGGGAGACTGTGTATCTTTTATTTTTTCAAAATCAGTTTATGTACATTAATAATATAGGTGGGGCGGGTCACTCTTTCGCGTGTTCTGTGTGTAACAAATTATGGCCCACCGTTCAACAATTGAACAGACACGTGAAAGGGTGTAATGGGGGGAAACCCGTTGATAGGTATAAGGGAGGGGTTTATCACACACAGCAAACAATCTGGGAGTTTTTAGCGTCCTATGGGGTAGTTGTAAATAGTAATTTTGTTTATCCCTTCCGAGCAACTTACGATTTCGAATGCTATTTCGACCATACCGAGTTACCCACGTTAGGTAGAGTTACAAAAAGCGTAGCCAAACACGTGCCTTTGTCTTGCTCTGTCGCCTCAAACGTAGATGGGTTCGTCGAACCCATCTGTTTTATTTCGACTGGTGACCCTCGAGAATTAGTGACTAGGGTTATTGACAGACTCCACATAATAGCTGAGGCAGCTTATGGAATTTTGAGAAAACAGTTCGAGCCTGTTTTTAAGCAAATCAGGAAGCTATTTCCACCTAAAGCTAGGGGTAGTGATAATAAGTCGAACGACAAAGGGTTTGATAGGTTTCTTAGCGGTAGATTAGATGAGTATTTGCGACAAATGCCGGTTATAGGGTTTAATTCAGGAAAATATGATATAAACCTTGTTAAACCGTATTTTATTCAGTACTTTTTAGCTTATTCAAACACAGAAGAGGGGTTAGAGGAGGGACCTAGAGCTAGTTGTAACGATGAGGAAGACGACGTAGAAGATAAACAAACACCGTTTAAATATGTAGTTAAAAGAAATAATAATTTTATGTGTATATCAACAAATAAATTAAAGTTTTTAGATATAGTTAATTATCTAGCACCAGGGTTTAGCTATAGTAAATACCTCGCCGCGTATAATGTTAAAGAGACCAAGGGATTTTTTCCGTACGAATATGTCAAAAATTTAGCCGTCTTAGATGAAACGGCTTTACCTCCGCATTCGGCCTTTTTTTCATCATTAAAAAATTGTAACATTTCAGAAGAGGAGTACGCGATGTGTAGCCAAATTTGGGTAGAGAAGGGGATGCAAACTTTTAAAGATTATCTTATTTGGTATAACAATCTCGATGTAAAACCGTTTATCGAAGCGCTCGAGCAGCAAACTAATTTTTACAAAAATTTAGGGGTTGATATTTTTAAAGACGCGATTTCTGTCCCGGGGGTAACCTTAAAATACTTATTCAAAACACTTCCCAAAAACGTTTCTTTTTCTTTGTGTTCCGAGCGCGAATCAGAGTTACATAAAACAATCCGAAATAATATCGTAGGGGGCCCCTCCATTATTTTTCATAGACATCACGAAAAGGGTGAAACGTTCATTAGGGGGAATAGTAATAAGGTGGTACAGGCAATTAAGGGGTACGACGCAAACGCGCTTTATTTATGGTCTTTAATGCAAAAAATGCCGACGGGCTTTCCGATTATTAGAAATAGTGAGGAGGGGTTTAGACCGCGTAAAACGAATCATTATGGGGAACAGGCCTTTCAGTGGTTATCGTGGGTTTCAAAAACAAAGGGGGTAACTTTAAAAACGGCATTTAACGGGGGTGAAGTTAGCTTAGGATCACGCCATATAAGAGTAGACGGGTGGGACGCGAACAGTCGAACCGTTTATCAGTTCCATGGCTGCCTCTTTCATGGACACCCCGACTGCCCCTTAACCAAAGACCGAACAGTAAATCCTATTAGTAACAGACCCTTGACAGAGTTATTTAAAAAGACAAACGAAATTACGAAGTACCTTACCGAGACTGTTGACGTTAAAGTTGTAGAAATGTGGGAATGTGAGTGGGGGAACCAGAAAAAAATGAACCCAACTATTAAAGACTATTTAAACTCTATTGACAAATCACAAAAAACACCGACACCGACCTATGGTAAGAAATGGCCCCTGACTGAAAAACAGATCATCGATTCTGTTTTAGACGACTCGTGTTTTGGACTGATAGAATGCGACATTAAAGTACCGGATAGTTTAAGAGAACATTTTAGTGAGATGACACCTATTTTTAAAAATACGGACGTTACGCGCGACGACATCGGACCGTTTATGAGACAATACGCGATCGATAACAACTTATTAACTAGCGGTAGACGGACTTTAATCGGTAGCTTTACAGGGGAGAAAATTTTATTAGCGACCCCCCTTTTAAAGTGGTATTTAAATCATGGGTTGGTGGTAACTAAAATTTATCAAGTCGTTGAATATAATCCGGTTGCATGTTTTAAGACATTTGGGGATACAGTTTCAGACGCGCGAAGAAAGGGGGACATAGACGATAAATACGCGATAACTAGTGAAACAATGAAATTGTTAGGAAACGCGGCATACGGTAAAACTTTGACGGATAAAACACGACATGCGGACATGACCTACTGTAGGGCTAGGGATATAGGGGATTGTATTAATAATCCGCGATTTAAAAAAATGACAAAACTTACCGACGATGTTTACGAAGTAGAAACGTTAAAAAAGAAGATAGTTTGGGATCTCCCTCTTCAGATAGGCTTTTTCGTTTATCAGTTCGCGAAACTTAGGATGTTAGAATTTTATTATGACTTTATAGACAAATATATAGATAGAACCGACTTTCAGCTATGTGAGATGGACACTGACAGTTTATACTTAGCCTTAAGTACCGATGACTTGTTAAAAGCCGTAAGACCGGGACTAGAACACGAGTTTTTTGACATTTACGACAAATGGTTCCCCTCAGAAGTATGCGACTCACATAGACCACAATTTATAAGCGGCAAAGGCACGGTAGATAGTCATTGTCTAGAGTGTAGGGCTAGGAAAATTTATGAAAAGAGAACACCGGGGTTGTTTAAATTAGAATATGAAGGGGATGGGATGGTATCTTTATGTAGCAAGACGTACCACTGTTTTGGCGAGTATAATAAAACATCAACCAAGGGATTATCTAAAAATCACAACACACTAGGCAAAGAATCTTTCATGCAGGTCCTCACAACAAAGGAACCAAGTGGTGGGACAAACACAGGGTTCAGAGCATACAACACGGGGATATATACTTACACCCAACACAGAAACTCACTTTCTTACTTTTACATTAAAAGACGACTAGACGCAGACAATGTGACAACATCTCCCCTAGACATATAACTCCTTTTAGTTTACCAACCGTGACTTTAACGAGACTTTACTGTAAATATGTAAATAAGACAGAACCATGACGGTATGCTGATGGGGTTGTATTTATTCAATAAAAACTTATGATATAAACGGTCTTTTTTTAATTTTTGATGTGAATTATTGTTTTGTTACTTGTCCCTGAAAGTTAGGTAACTCGGTATCCTGTATAAGATGTATGACTGGAATCAAAATGAACCATTTAAAATACTGGATCCGAGTTGGAAATATCCCTTTACCGCTCTGATCGGTGCCCCAACCATTATCACAATTCGCCCTTCCCCTTCCCTTTGTCAGCAACCCCTTCCCCCTTCTCCCATCCCTAAGCTCAATACCAACCGATCGATAAACAGATCGTACCACTACCCACACTATTCCTTGGACAGACAAAGGATGTAGGACAATCTTACAGACAAGTGTTTATTCAATTAATGTCACAACCCCCTAGAAACCATTCCAACAGACTGGGATACATAACTTGTAGACACCACTCCCCAATGAATATCCCCTTCCTAAACACATTGACATTTACTCTCAAAAGTGACAATGTTCCCATCCAAATTTTTAAATCTTTCCATATACAAATAAAAACATCCACATCCAACTTTGAAATCTGCCTCGGTGAAAACTTCACCGACCCTAGTATAAACCAGCCACCAACCGACTCTAAGTCATGGATGGAGCGAATTTGAAACCTGTCTTGTTGAAAACTTCATCGACCTGAGTATGAACTCACACACACTCACACTCAAACACACACACACACACACACAAAGCGAACTTGTAAAGACAAATAATATTGCATCGTTGAAAACTTCACCGACTCTAGTATAAAAACCATCCACCAACCCCTTCCAAAACATACATGTAATCTCGGCTGCCAACAATTCCAAGAACATGTATGTACCAACATGTCTCGGTGTTATCAAAACTCCCCCGACCCTAGTATGAACTCTGCCCCTAACAATTCCTAAACATACATGTAGCAACTTTGAAACACGCCTCGGTGAAAACTTCACCGACCGTAGTATAGACTCTACACCAACCCCTTCCAAAACATCCGTGTACCAACATCACTCGGTGAAAACAAAATCCTTCCCACTCTAGTATGGATTCGGCCCCTAACACTTCCAAAACATGCCTGTATCAAATTTGTAACCTGCCTCGGTGAAAACTTCACCGACGCTAGTTTGAAACCTACCAACTCCAAAGCATACATGTAACAACTTTGAACCAATCCATGGTGAAACCAAAACCACACCACCCTAGTATAAACTCTACACCTAGCAATTCCTAAACATGCATGGTTCGAGTTCAAAACCAACCTCGGTGAAAACTTCACCGACCCTCGTATAAACTCTACACCGACCAACAACAAAACATTGCCTAGGTGAAAACAAAAAACCTATGATACTGTCCGTATAACTGTTAGTGAAAAGCACGGGACCCAACCGGGGGAAAAATCGATTAACGTGGTAACAGGTGTTCCCACACTTAACGCTGGCTTCGCCGAAAGCCACTTAATGTACGTCGTTAATTACCATACCCCCCGGTGGGATCGCTTCGCGAACCCACATAAATCATCATGACCTATCAAATCGAGCGGGGAAACTCGGTGAAGCATAACAAAATTTAATTAGGTGGACCATCATACTGATGGTCAGTGGGTGCGATCAATATTAACGCGCCCGTTGTCCAGTGTTTGACAAGAACAAAGGATCGCGGATCGCTATGTAACAGCTGTGGCTGATCGTTATCTTTAATGAATGTTCTATGTTTGTATACTTTAGCGTTGTGGTGGCGAATTTAACCTGTTTTTTTTTTTTGTGCACGGTTGTTGGGTTGGAGAATATAAAAATTAAAATTACGTAACTCGTTAATAAAAATTACACAATATAAACAAAGTAATTAAATTAAATAACAAGTAAACAAACAAAATAAACAAACAAAATACAAAGTAATTAAAATCAATTAAAATTTAAAATTAAAATTTAAAAATTTAAAAAATTAAAATCCAATTACGTAACTAGTCAATAAAAAAATTACACAATATAAACAAAGTAATTAAATTAAACAACAAGTAAACAAACAAATTAAACAAATAAAAATACAATCAAAGTAATTAAATTACGTAACTCGATAATAAAAATTAATTAAAATTTAAAAATTAAATTCAAACTCATTAAAAAACGCATTAAATTACGTAACTCGTTAATAAAATTAATTAAAAATTTAAAAAATAAATTCAAACTAATTAAAAAACACATTAAAATTACGTAACTAGGTCAAAAAATTAATTAAAATTTTAAAAACTCATTAAACTAATTAAAAAACTCGTTAAAATTACGTAACTAGGTCAATGATTACGTAACTAGGTCAATGATTACGTAACTAGGTCAATGATTACGTCATAATGTTACTAATTACGTCACAAGGTCACCAGTGGTGACCTACTGACCTATTCCGCATCCGCATCACCCACCCTAGGGTGGGTGAGTATTTTACTATATCTCATTGTACCTCCGGCTCACCCACCCTCACCCACCTTCACCCAGGTGGGTGAGTATTTTACTATATGTCATTGTACCTCCGGCTCACCCACCCTCACCCAGGTGGGTGAGTATTTTACTATATGTCGGTGTACCTCCGCATCACCCAGGGAGTATTTTACTATATCTCGTTGTACCTCCGGATCACCCACCTTACCCAGGTGGGTGAGTATTTTGCTATATGTCATTGTACCTCCGGCTGGGAGTATTTTCCTATATAGCCTTTGTTCCGCATCCGCATCCGCATCCGCATCCTGCTCACCCATGCGACCCAAAAGTGACCTAATATACTACTCATAGATCGTAAAAGTCATATTAAAAAAATAATATATTTCTTATTAACAATTATGATTTTCGACATATTGGTCAGATGAAGTAGAGTTAACCTGTTTCAATATAAGGGGATTGTGTTGTCAGTTCAACGCACGCGCAGTTATCTATACTTTCCCTAACAGCTAAGTGGACTCATGGACATCCTACTGACCAATGTCTGGGATATGATCTCAAGAGCTTCTAATTTCCGACCACGTCGTCCCTTCATTATTTATAGTATTATTTTGAACACAAATTTAGGGTACGGCGTGGCCTAAAGATAGAGCGTTATAGCGTTATGCTGCTAACCCGAAAGTCTGCATTCGAATCCGTGCTTAAGTTAGTAGAACGTGTCTGAGTCATTGAGTCTAGTGAGTACCTAACTCACATTAGGTAAAATATAAGCGGCTGGGCATGACGCTAAATATGAAACAGTACAGGTGAACTCCACTTCACCATTGACACCAGGTTTGAAAAGGCATTTTTTTTACTTTAAATCTACTTTTTTTTAACATATTGTAAAAAAATTTACATAAAAGGTACTTTTTACATGAACTATTTCGACCATCTAGTTTAGGCAGATTCGCTTTAAATAGAACTATAGAAATCTCAAATAGCTAGTTTTCGACTTTAATTTAAATTTTAATACATTTTAAGTTTTGGTAAAACATGAAGTTTTAGAGATAATGTTTATTAAACTAAACATTTTAAGTTTTAAATTAGAATATAAATTAATTTATATCTTAAACTGTTTTTTTATGTGAAATTATATTTCTTTCGATTAAATTTGAATTTAATTTATACTTGCCTCCCTTTAATAATACATTTTTTTAATAGCATGGGAGGCTATTCATTACCACAAATTCTATCACTATCATTGTTACATCCGAGTAGGTTACATGTTTCAAAATGTATAAACGTACAAATTTGTGAAAAACAGTAATAGTATTTATTATGTTCGCAAGTATACACATTAATCTAATTTTAAACTTTAAATTTCTTTAGTGGTTTGGTGATTGTATAAATTATGTTTTATATTAAAAGTAAGTTTGATATCGTAAAGACAAACTTCCCTATACATTTATATTGCAAGCTTATTTGAAATTCTTAAAAATAATATTTGAATGAAAATGTTAAAAAATTAAGTTAAAATTTACCTAAACGAACGTAATACTATGGTGATGGATCCGAACTAAAAACTTTTGTAACAGTCGTACGCGCTACTATCAGGCCACCCTATCCAATTTCTTTATTTAGAATTCGATAAATATAAACGCTTTAATTAATTTACACTTTAATTTGATATAATACTTATATATGAAATTTCATCAACCTAGCTGTAACGGGACTCAAGTTATCGTGTTCACAGACATACACACACACATACACAATCACACACACACACACACATATACACACACATAGACAGACATACGGGCAAATTTGCAAATTAAGTTTTTCCGACTCAGGGAGGTGTAAAACGTCGAGATCTGTGAAAATGTCGATTTTTTTTTTGCACGATTACAATACTTTATCTGTACTTCGTATACGAGAAAGAAAAAACACATAAACACAACTTTTAAACAATAAATAAGTTAAAACTTTAACTTAAAAGTAAACCTTAATCTAAACCTAACTTAAGTACCGTTATGTTCCATTCCTACTATACCAGTAAATTGGTTCGGCTAACCGAAGAGAACAAACAAAGACAACATCTTACACATTGGGATCCAGCAAGTCATCCCCAGTTATCGGACTTCTGGTCAGTGGAGCGTAGTCCCACAGAATCTCTTCAGCTGAGATGTAATAGTCTCTGATTCTCCCAACCTCGGCCTGAATGTTGCTAGTTTTCCCATAGCAGTCTGTGACCGTATAAAAAGCGTACATGCCGTTTTCTTGTGCGGTCGTTGACTGGGAATACAGCATCCATTTTCCTTGGGGGGTAACAACGTAAAACAATGTGAAGACTTTTTTAAACAAGGGTTATTTCTAAATGATGTACGGATACACGAAGGTTGATTTTTCACAACAGTAAAGAATTATCAGATACTTTTAAAAACAATTACACTATTTTCTAAAAGAATGTACTGTGTAAAGTTATGTCTCACGCTTATTATTAGTGTGGCCACAACGGATAAATAGATGACGTGGCAGTTTTAAAAGAGATTGTGAGAATAGTATAAATGGTCCACAGCATGTACAGATACTACGTGTTCAGTGTAATGAAAGTATGAACCTATGTTATCACGATATGGGACGACGAAATGCCCTTATATTAGTGGCCATGTGGTTAGTATTTTAGTTAAGCTAAATCCATTAACACCTCCCCCCGCACCCTAACAACCTTAGGTTGCTATTAGATAACTATTATTGGAAAAAAATCCCGTGTCCATACCAGCATTATCTGGCGTCATAGACAGAGCAGCCGTGACTCCAGGCACAAGACTCCTGGCGTCACGGTTGGTGCCCTCCTCGTTGAAGGTGTTGCCGTCAAAGACCAGGGTGTGGACGTCCAGGAACGACCCCAGGGACATGACGTGCCAGATGATGTTGTCGTTGATGCACGTGTTGATGGTTGGCATGTTGCCGTAGGAGTAGCCGTTGACATCTGGCGAGGGAGGGGAAGAAGTGGAAAATATAGAGTTTTTAACTGAAGGAAATTAACAGCAGTTAATTAGTTTATTAATGATAATTTTTTGATACAGTATTTAAAATTTTCTGAAGTATGTCTCAGAATTTATGTTAAGTCAAGCATTAATACTTTTAAAGCTTCTAATTACCTAACTTTTACCCTCTAATAAGCATCTTTTTTTTCAATATGAAAGATACTTTAGTAGAAAAGTCGTTAAATATGAATTTATTATTTATATTTGTATAACAGTTTATTATACATTTAATGAATTATTAAAATGCATGTTTTAACTAACACTTCATATACATACAAAGGCCACTTACTCCATCGAACGTTGGACTGAACAAATCCTTCTAGATCATTCCCTACGCTCACGGTGGGGGACATGTACAGGGACTTGTTCTCATCAAATGTTGCTAGCAGTAAAAAATATTCGCTTGGCTTTGGTCCCTGTATATAGATGGGAGGTTAGAAGAATAAAATACGTGTTCATACAGTTAAGCTTACTGATCGAATACATCTCCCCCTGCCATATTAAACTAATTTCATCTGTCTTCATAGGGTGAGTGTTGCGCAGGGGTGGACTGGTTGTGCCCATGGGGCCGCTGATTTTTTTAAAGGGGCCCCAACACAGCACGGTAAGAAATCGAATATATATATATATATATATATATATATATATATATATATATATATATATATATATATGTGTGTGTGTGTGTGTGCGTGTGTGTGTGTGTGTGTATGTGTGTGGAAACAAATGCCATAGTGGCATGAAAATATGCAAAAGGAAAATGTCAGTCCAATCTAAATAAATCACAAACAAATGTAAATGAGGATCCAGGCTGCTGTAATCGCATACCATTATGAGTATGAAATCGATGAAACAAAGTTACGATTCTGTGTACTTTTTTCTACTAAAAATTGTGGAAACAAAATCGAGTCTCAACATAACCGTTCTATTTACTAGAAATACTTGGTGCCCCTGGTCGGGAGTCTAGCTATTTGTGGCGATTTGTAACATAAGAACGGCGTGTAAGGGGATTGGCTCAGTTGTAAATTTCATTTAATTACAGGTATCCCATAGTTCTTTATCATATTCCACAGATACCCCACTGTATACTTACCATGTATGCCAGGTATCCCATTGTTTATTAAACCTATACGAAATGAAACCCTTAATTTACTTAGAAAATACGACAGATACCACAATGTTTACTTTCACTGTAAGACAGGTATCGCATTGTTTAGTTACCCTATGTTACAGGTATCCATCTGTTTGCTCACCCTATATGCCAGATACCCCTCTATTAACTTACCTTATACACCAGATACCCAAATGTTCACTCACCCCATACGGCAGATAACCCACTATTAACTCACCCCATACGCCAGATAACCCACTATTAACTCGCCCTATACGCCAGATAACCCACTATTAACTCACCCCATACGCCAGATAACCCACTATTAACTCACCCCATACGGCAGATAACCCACTATTAACTCACCCCATACGGCAGATAACCCACTATTAACTCACCCCATACGCCAGATACCCAACTATTAACTCACCCCATACGCCAGATAACCCACTATTAACTCACCTTATACACCAGATAGCCAACTATTTACTCACCCCATACGCCAGATACCCCACTATTAACTCACCTTATACACCAGATAGCCAACTGTTCACTCACCCTATACGCCGGATACCCCACTGTCCACTTACTCTGTAAGACAGATACCCCTTCTGACAGACGAGGATTGCACCAACCAGACCAGTGTTGTGGTCACGGACAGGATCGTGCATTGACGTGTACAGGAAACTGAGACAAGGTTCAGATGACCCCTCTAGTAGGTTGGTCGGCACGTCAAACCTGTAGGTGTGGACCTGGTTTAGGCCCACTGACCCACCTGGTACTCCATAGCCAACTAAAATTAAACATGGCATACGTTGTATTAATTTAGTTACAGCATTTTTTTAGACGATAAAAGATTTTTCGATCTATTGTAATTTTTTATTTTTTTAAACAAAAATAATAATGCACAAACCAGAAAGGCGGGATTTAATGTATAAAAACAGAAATGTAAGTCAGGTAATCTGACTTCAAAATAAATTGAAGATAATGAACCTTTCAGGCTCACGGTATATGAAACAGACTGATGAAAGTATAAATGATACAGATAAATCTATAAAAAAGACTCACCCATGTCCTCCTCTGTTACGTTGTAACTAAGACCGTGGGGGAGAAAAGACACGGGGAAGGGGAGGAGATTCTTCAAGGTCACCACAACCCTGTCCCCGACCTCCACGCGCAGTACCGGTCCCAGAATGCCAAGGTGAGCGTCCTTGGGCGAGCTGCTGACCTTTGTATTGAATAGCGAGTTTGTGTACTGAATGAACTTGGCCTTTTTGTACACACCGCCCAGTCGGGTTTGGCTACGCTCAAAGTAAAGATTCGATGGGCTGAGGATGGGGAATTTAGAGCTCAACGGCTGAGATATATGGAAATAAGGCAATAAAATTTCGAGTTAGTTGTAAGTAGCACATGATGGAGCTTGGACGATGAATTTGCTTTATTAAAAGAGCAGCGTTGAGAAGGAGCGATACGGTCAGATGTTTTTGCTAATGGAGAATTTAATGTAGTTTTATATTAAGTTTGAGGTAATTGTATGTGGCATTTGGGGTGGGATAGAGATGTTAGAAATTATTTTAGGAGAAATTAGACTGAAGAGATTTTTAGGCTAAGAAAAAGAGAAGGGTAAGTTGTGAAAATTTATAAAAATTAGGTGATGATCCTAGGATTTAGAGTTTGATTTGAGTTTTTATTGTACATGAGATTTTAAAAGGGATGGAGAAAAAAAAGTAACAAACAACTTTAGGTATATAAATTTTGAGATTTAGCAGGTGAGCTGATAGTTAGTACACTGAGGTGATTCCCTGCAAGCACTTTTAACCAGTGTCTGCTTCAGCGTATCAATGTTTACACACCTGTCCGCCGTTGTCAATGGCAACCCGGTTCTTCCATCCAACCCCGTGGGTCCGTACTTCCAGATTGTGGACTCAGCCGTTAAAAAAAACTCTCTCGTCGTCCCAGAATTGCTAGAGTTTGTTGGGTCAGTTTTGAAGGCTCTCTTGGGGCAGCTTCTCACGTTATAGAACGCTGCGATACCTTCTGTTGATGCAACAAACACATTGATTAGACTGAAGTCTCGTAGACAAAGCTGTATGAATGGGTGTATATGGTTATGTTTTCACATCTATGGTGATGTGCAGATATCTGTGTCGATTTGTAGACTAGTATAGTCTTATAATAGAAGAATGCTAACAGATTATACTATAAGCCTTAAACATTGTACAAAGAAGCGAGGGGTAGGGAAGGGGGTGTCAACAATCCTAGCTTTGTCAATGGATAACATCCAAAAATAGATTAAGGGTGATTACGTAATAAAATCGATAATGCAAGTATATAAAATATAAATTTAAAATGACGAAGCATTATTTTTAACAGTTTCCGCTTTAGAAACGTAAAAACCCTGTCTAATGAAAAACTAAGAGAAACAACCTTCGAGTTTAATTATTGAGGGGATTATTATTCATGCAGATTTAATCCCTTCTTAGTACCTTTTTGATGGTCATCGACGAAGTCAGCGATCAACCATCGTCCAGGGTTTGCTGGAATGGTTCCCACGGCAACAAACGTGGCACTGTACACAGACACGGTGTCACCCCTACAGGGACAAATTGATCATCAGAGAAAAAAAATGGCAACTAAGAGGCAAATGCTTTTTTTTTTTTTTAAAGTCAATAAATTGCGTGTGAATATCGTGCTATGAGTAAGTTATCTGATAGTAGTTTGCAAGTTTAAACAAAACTTTGCTGGCTCTGAAATTATGTGCATTTTTAATACACCGTGTTGTCATACTGTTATAATAGTTGTAAAGCTAAAGATTCCCAGTTATTGTATTGGTTGTATTTTAACTTTAGGTACCATCTCGGAAATAAATGGTTCGGTGGGTATTTAGACGACTCTAAAAATTATCTCACGCAATCGGAGCCAACGAAAGCATATGTCTAATCCGTTTTACTTTTACGCATCTTAGCGCCACTGAGACAAAAGAAAAATGCCAAATTTATAAAGTAACTAGTCGTTCCGGCCAGGCCCTGCACTGGCCACAAGTAAAATCTCTAAAGGAACATGAGCAAATACCCGCATTGACAGGGTTTAGGAAATATATTACTTTTCGAATTAACCCTAATCACAACCAACCAAACCCAAAAAACCCAAAAAACACAGACATAACACAAACGCAAACTCAACAGCAAACACACACAAAAAAACACAAACACAAAGAAAATATAAACAAAAAAGCAAACACAAACGCAAACATAAACAAACAAGAAGTTACACGTGCCTTCACCCACCAGAAATTTCAAATGCTGAAAAATAGTTGAAAGAAACCCTGCTTCCGTTTAAGCATAGCGTGGAAAACATGGTATAATTTTGAACAGTGGAGGTCGTAGTATGGCCAAAGTCAGACAGTTTACAACAGAGGACATAGAGGCCATTAGCAAAACAAGTTATTTTGTGATTTAGGTTTGTCAACAGTATATCACTCATATAGGTGGGTTCACACCCATGTACAAACATGATACACACAGAAGGCAAGAGCGTGCATACCAGTTAAGACATGCAATAAACAACTCAAGCACAAACACCAAGACTGGTACATATTAAATGACAAGCCTAGTTGGAGATTGTAACCAGCATTAGTGTCTACCTCCTATGCTGGTACTTGAGATTCTGACCATGGAAGTGCATTGAGTGGATGTCCATCTCGTTCCCGAAACCGATGACGTAGAACTGGACACGATCTCCAACACACACCTGTCAATATGCAGCTTTTCATAAATATAAGTTGTATAAACCTCTACATATTACGAATACAGCTACTTACTTTCAAAGTACGAATCATGCGTTCATGATACAGAAACACTAATTCTCAGTTCGTGTAATTGTAAAATATGCGCAGTTTAATTTGATTTCAGTTGGCTAATAGTGTAATTTTACTTCTTATTTAAACGTACATAGGTCCTAGGACCAACGTAAAATTTAATAAATGTCTTACTTTTACATTTTGAATAATCTAATTTGTATCTCAAATCTGAAATATAAATGCGTGCTCTTTTTGAAAGATGAAGTAAATTCACAATTTATGTTTCAGTTGTTTTTTTTGGGGGGGGGGGGGGGGGGGACTTGCATTTGGGGAGTTGGCTTTCAGGAAAAATATGTTCAGACACAATTCTTGATGATAAAACGAATATTGACAATCGGTACTTAATGATAGGTCTGACACGCTACAACTTGATTAATAGATAAGACAAAACCAGAATGTACTCACCTCCAATCCCTCCAGCGTACCAAATGACCTTCCATTAACGGACCTCATCAAGTTGCTGTCTACAAACCCTGGCTCCCCACTATCCGCCATCTGTTGACATGCTAATGGTGACAGACAGAAGGTGTTGATGTTGTCCCTGTGGTGCCAGCTGATGTTCTCGTCCCAGTTCATGACGAACAACGGCACCTCGACATCCACGTCCACACGCTCGTTCTTGAAGTTAAGTGTACCTGTGGGTGAGCAACATACACAGGTCAATAGGTTGTGAGAAACACACAGGTCAGTGTACCTGTCGGTGGGAGCAGCATACACATATAAGTCGGAATGTAGTAAATTGTAGGATGGAGCTGCACAATATTTAATTCAGTAGTGCTTAAAATTTGATCAATTAATAAGACCTAATTCTGCAGGGATTACGAATTGGTCAAACAATATGACGTATTTATCCATTACTTATGATCTAATAAAATATATTGATACAATTAGGACACTTTTCCTCAAATTGGTTAAAATTAATACTTTCGATCACTAGACTAATTTTTGAATCAATGTAGTTCGTTTAAATGTGACATAATATCACAAAAAACAAGATGTGTAAACTTAAGTCCTTTTTTAAAAATAAAACAAAAGACCAGTTTCAAACATGTAAATCATAAAAGCCAAATATTCTCTATAAAATGTTCGAGATAAAAAATATTCAAGATTATCATTTAATCAGACGGCACCCTCATTAAAACTCCCGCAAAAGTCTTGATTTATATTATGTTGACCCCCCCTGTACATCAGACCCCACCTGGCCTGCACGTGACGACCACGCCTATCATCCCCGTGGACACGTCCCTCCTGGTGTTGATGTGGGAGTGGTACACCCACGGGAGGCACGCCGGGTCACCCTCTGCCGGGGCATCACTCACGGTCACGTTCCACGTCACGGTGACCCGGCGCCCTGGCATGACGCTGTCGTCTTCTTTGGAAATTCCCGAAGTCCCGTCTAAATAAAGCGCACCTAAAAATAGAATAATGACTGTGTTGTTTAGGAAGTACTTTATTCGGACAACGGGTGAGGAAATAAGCAAGGTGTTTTTTTTAAACTAAGAAATAAAAAAAAAAACAATACGGAAACTAACAATGTAAACTAAAGCTATTGAACGTGTCTGTTAGTGTTAGGCCTCATAAAACGGGTTACAAAACATTTTTAATGAAAACCATGGCCCAAATACAAATCAGGTGCAAATTAGACACCTGGATTATAACCGGTCAATTAGTTTGCTATCTTATTGCAAACGATCGAGAAGATAGAACGCGATGCGATCTAGAATAGTGTGAATTGTAGGTGGGGAAAACCAAACGTAACGTAGTGTATCTGATCAGGTTGAAGTAGGGTTTCAGATCTTGTGGTATGTAAGGTCATATGAACTGATTAAGTACTAAAGTATTATTTCTTGTTTAAAGTATAAGGTCGATAAAGGGATGATGAATCTCGTCATATGAAGGGTTTGTATAGTCAGATGTATGTCCAGCCTGTTTTACTTTCCCTGTATAGATTACCATGCCATCCACAACTATGGAAACATCATATAGAGATAAAGGTAATTCTCAGACCTGATTAGGTTCTGAGATGTCCTAGTCTATGTCAGACAGTTATCAGACCTGGGTTAACTCTAAAGGTAATGAGCTCATGCCGGGTACTTTTTAATGCTGGGTGGACTCTGAGATCTCGTATGGACACGACAGTTATCTATCGGACCTGGGTAGGTTATGTGACATCCAATGGACACGTCAATTACCCGAAACGGCTGGGTGGATTC